TTATTCCGGTTGAGCTTTTTATATCCTTAAATGTCGAAAAGGTTCACAAGTAAAAAAAAGTTAATAAATGGTAAAATTACAATTAACGGTTTAATATCTGTAGGTCTGGCAACGCTGCGAGTTGTGATGGCTCTGCCGAAAAATTGCGGACATATTGATTTGTATTGATTAAAAGATCTTACCAAATCACGGGTAACAATCACACACCACAAAGTTAAGTAGATACAAATAAAGAGCTAGAAGAAAACAAACTAAAATGACTATTTAAATCTAGGTGCATTTGACCTCTCTCGACGGGTGTTAAAATGCAAGTGCCTCGTTATAGATGAAGAGGGTTGCGTGTGTCGTTGCTCGAAAGACTTTTAAGAAGAAGCGGAAACACTTTTCAGTCCGTTGCAGCGGCGCGAAGAAATTTAAATTTGAAACAGCACAAATTGTTAAATGTGACTTTAACAATAATATTAAGGTAAAATCATATGCACAGCTTTAGAAATAATTTAAAACCACTCACCTCTATTTGAAGATGCACTCGCAATTATACCTTTACTTCAAAGAAGTTTCTTGTATATTATTTAAAATAAATAAACGTTTCTTCTACATTTGTTGCCTTCATTTAAAATCACAAAATATCAAGATGTAGGCTATCAGTTTAACATTTTGGAAAAATATGTGTTGCCTAACCTAGTAGTAAAGGCATCAAAATGGCCGCGCCCTATGTTGGGCGTGTTGGACGTCTCTCTTCCACCGTATAGTAATCAAAGTATGTGGTAGCCGTATTGTAACTTGACAAACCGGGCCCTAACCTAGTTTTCCAAATACCCTTAACCTTGGCCTAAATTTCGTCTAGTGGATCCCCACGAAGTGATGCTAAAATCCCCAAAATTACGTTTAGAGTTCAATGTAGCTGTAATAGAGAAATAACAAAGTAAACGCAGAGATTAATTTGGAATACTGTTTATTTAACATCTATTCTTTTGTACAGCTGGACATTTAGATTATGTGCCGTTTTTAGGCTTAACATTATGTTTATGTATGTAGGCTTTCCAATTTGTCATTTCTAACCTCAGAGCTTTAAGTTCCCATAAAAGGGTAAAATAAAAGTCGGTAGTACTTTGGTATATTTGTTTGTCTCCGAATATACAATCACACCTTTCCACGGAAAGTCTGAATTACGCATTGTCTAATAAAAGAGAGTATAGCGGTTGCACGGGAGTTCGATGAAATATAAAATAATGTTTGTAACATGTGTAAAAACCGGAGTGTAGATTTACCTCACCGTGCGTCATGCATTTCCCTAATATTCCAATGCCGTAATGTACCCACTTTTGGGGTGTCTCAGTAGAGATCCATCCTGCCTCTATCAGGCTTTAATTTACATAGCCGCAAGGGAAATACCATTTTTAGGCCCTTACTATTGAGGTCCCTGGCGGTCTATGGTTTCCTAAGGCTCTTTTTCGGCGCGATGCTCTTTTGCTCTGTCGATTGACAAATCATTGTTATTAATCACAGTTCTGAGGATACGTTAGCTAGTCCACAAACACAATTTCACCTATTTTTTCTAAATAAATAACAAACATATCGACTACTTCCGCGTAATGTCCCGCTAAACATATGTGGATATGTACAAATAAATCCGACCCTCCTCAATATTCATGATTCTACCCGCCGCTGTACATATCCCCTTTTTCCCGAAAAATCGATATACAAAACTAACACTCCTTACGGCTAAAATCACACATTTGTCTACCCAATTTTGTTTTATAAAGAATGACAGAAAACATATTTTTTAACCGCAATCTAACTTTAAAATATATACAAATCAAGCCATTTGTCCTACTAATCTACATCTGTTTGCCATTTAAAAGTAAAACCGAAAGTGCGTTTCCTCTTTACTGAAAGGGGCAGGTACTGTTTACAGACAACCAAAACTTTACAATTCGGCCCGTTGGCCATAAATCTAAATGACTTAATTTATTACTTAAAAGTGTTGACCGACTTTACAACAATTAATATTTATGACAACAACATCACTATCGATTCTCTAAATAATATAATTTAGCACAATATAAAACCCTATAATTTTTCCCACAATAAACGTTTATCAATGAATACCAAAAAGATGACAATAACATACAGACGCGAATTTTCCCGCTAATGAATATAAAAGTAATAAAGTGATACCTGTAACCCATTAATGTTAGTCTAAACTCTCCCCCGGAGTTATGAATATTAAATACTAGTTTGATACTTGAATAGTGCGATTATCGTTTTAATTCAACGTAAAAGAAACCTTACAGAAAAAAAGTATACCGCTGATAAAAGGGTCTACCGGGCGCAAGTTCGTCGGGTCAGTCTTAAGGGTGACGAAATTCACTACGAACGTCCCCTAGAGTAGTACTTTTAATCATTTGGTAACAGTTTATAATGTTGAATCGGAGATATAAAATATCTGGCGTTTAACTAGACGAGCGTGGTATCACCAGTATCAGTTACGCCAATATTTTAGTCGCTCGGTAGATACAACCTTACAAAACAGTTCTAGGAGCGAAATCTGGTTCTAATCAGCGTGTATCTGCTTGGTCAACCTGACTATATATCTCCTTTTACTTATATATAAAATATAAGAAAAAGCTGGTCATCCTAAAGACAACTGGATATCTATGCAGAAGCCGTCGTTTATAGAAACTAATTTCTCTACTCCGTCGATATTTTTTATTTCCGTTCTCAAAATATAACAAAAGCGCGGCCACCGTAAGTGTAGCGATATCTCTTTTTATTATATTTGAAGAATATAAAGAAAAAGGAGCCACCGTGGCGGTAACGTGGATATTTGCTTTTTTTGTTAACTAGACTCGGTGAAGATGAAAAAGCTAATAATCCCCCAGCCTACAAAAACCCTGGTATTTATACTTAAATTTCCCATATATGCAAATGTATCGGAAAGGGAACGACTGTAAATTCGGTGTAAAAAGACTATAAAGCCCTGTATTAATTCCTGAATGTAGCCATATCGTTTTACATCTGGTTTTTTAGCTAGCGGCCGTTACAGTTTACACGTCGATTTCTTTTCCCAGAAGTAATTAAACGGCGCCTACGAGTCGGGATATGCTGGGCTGTTGTTTGAATTCGAAATAAAAATTTGAATATATTATGTAATATATAAGAATTATTTAAATTAGTTATCAACCCCCGGTTGTCGGATTTCAGTATTCTGCATGGAAAAGAAGTGTGAGTACTATCTCACGATTTGGCTTTGCTGCGCATCACACTCGACTAAAATTATAAAGAATCATGTCAACAGTGAGAGCAGTGTTGCAAGACGCACGATAATAATTATCGTATTTGTACGATATACTGAAAAAGTTGAAGATTCCCAATTTTTCAGAATTTTTATTTTCCAACTTACGAGCTAGATTGAATGTCTGTTGCATTTTAATTTTAATGTAATATATTATTACATAGGTATAATTAAAAATATTTTTAATCACAGGGTGATTTACAAATGTATGACAGTACTTGCAAAATCTCGCTAATTCTATAGTGACATCAGAGAAGCATATTTTCAAAAAGTGCACAAGATACATTTCTGTTTTTATAGTAATAAAATTATTTTTGGGCCTGAAGTATCCATGCGTGGTTCGTACTCAGTGGATGTAGTATTTACCATGAACTTTTATTTTGTATCATACCGCTGTCACCAATGTTACGCAGGTTTTTAATATCTCAATTTATTTCAACTCAACTTTAACAACAATTATACAACTGATAACATTAACGTATAACGTCTATCATAAAACTGCCAAAGTGACGTCAGGATCATCCTTATATAGCTTGCTTGACCCTTCTTGAACTGTCGTCTAGAATATTCTTGACGGGTAATGACATTTCCAGACATTTCTGGGTTACTCTATCTTCTTTTACTTGTACTTTTACTTATGACGACCGCAGCACACTGTAGGGCGATGAGTAACATTCCACTTCTTTTTCTATTTGTACGTTTCCTATAATAGCCGTAGGCTACTGCAGGGTGCTGCGTAACAATAAGTTCTGCTGAGATGTCCATTACAAGGGATAGTTTAAAACAGTTGCGGCTCGTGTTCAAAATATTGGGGGTTCAAAATGACAGAGAATATAGATCTCAGTACAGATGTACTTAAAAAAACTTTCGGTGTTTTAGAAAGCAATATGTATGGAAAGATATATTATACCGATGACTCTAAAGGTTATTTACTTACATCTGTACTTCGATCTATATTCTGTTATTGTGAACCCCCAATATTTTGGAAACAAGCCGCCATTGGTTTAAAATAATTGTTACAGGGTGCTTCACGAATAAATTACAATAACTATAGTTTCGATAGAGAAATTGTTTCATTGAGTAAATATATTTTTATTTAGGGTGAGCCGTCCAGCCAACCACAAAAAAATTATATTTTGAAATTATTAAAAAGACGACCTTGCATTTCTTTAGTGACTTTTGAGTAAGTTAATAACATTATATTAGGTGTGTAACTATTAGATTTTAAAATCTATTTCTATTAGAACATCCTGTAAAAGAAATGTGTACTATATAATATTTTATTGTCAAAATACCATATTGTATAGTGTAGTTTAAAAATATGCTTCCCTGATGTGACAGTAAAATTAGTGATATTTTTTTAAAACCCGTTTTTCTTCCTAGATTCGTTTCAGAAACCTCAAACTACAGAAACGTCACCATCTGGTTATTTTTAGGTAAAATATCACCCCCATTGTTTCGGCAAACTATAATCCAATAAAATTTTCCATTTCATCTTTCTTAAAATACATTTTACATTTTTTAAAGACTATTCACGTCATAAATTAAATATTTGAAATTAGGTAAGTGAAGTTTGTTGTTGAAAATTTTGTCTTTTTAATTCCAAAGTAATCAAATTTTAAAAAAAAATTACTAAATAAATTAAATAAATGCACTATTTAATACGAGGTATTTGGCATAAAAAAGTTGAATTGATAATAATTGTTTCTTACATTCACATTAGAAGACGAGATTGGTTTCCATTATGGGATATCCAAATACAAGAGTGTTTTTATATTTTTCAGCCTTTACGGGTAAGTAACAAACGTATAGCATAATTCCAAAATCCTTTAAACAATCCAATTATTTTAGAGATTATTCTTTGTTAAATCATATTCTTTTGATTTTGTTTATCTCTTTCTAGTTTATTGATTTATTAATTTATATTTTATTAAAATGGTTTCAGGGTGCTTGCATCACTTTCAGTTTTAATTATTTTAAAAATTGTATAAAAAAATGTTTAGCTTAGTACGACATTATTTAAAACTAATACATTGTATGTATACCGAGTATAAAAAGCCTAAAATTTCTGTAACTGCAACACAGTCAAGAAATGTGGCTCGTATATGAATACTGTTTTTGCACAGATCGTACAAAAATTATAAAAACTATAATCAACCATTTTGTGAAATTAGTGAACGATACAAACTCTAAATGAAATTATAATAACTAAAGTAGGTAAGAAAGTATTTTAAAATTGTATAAATTACAGACTTAGAAGGTAATATCAAGCTAGCGAATAGTAACAATAAATATAAATTAATTATAGAAAATTACCTATCCAACATTACCAATATGTTACAGCCTATTCCGTCCTATCCAAGAAAGTTTTTGTATTTAAAATATACGTGGTAGATAAAAGTAAGGGATTTGGGCTTATGTGCGCACTATTCGATTCTCAAGCACCAGCAGATATATTAGTTTGAAGACAACACATTTTACTATCACATTTTGATGAAATAATAATTAGTCAAAACTAGGTTATATAATAATTGAATAAGTACATATTTTATTATAAATTCCCCATACAGTTAGGATACAAATAGGCACGAAAAACGGACACAAAATATATTAAATAAATGTCATCTTACAGAGTCTTAAAAGACATGATATAGACCACCAAAATATTCCAAAAATTATCCTAAAACAAAAATTTTTAGAGCGGCATAGAGACCCAGGTAACAATAAAGGTCTTGATTTTCTTTGACAAAATTTCACTATACATAGAGATGATAACGATCGGAAGAAGGTATTAACGGGTGGGCCATGAATATGTTGAATATTAAACTGCGTGTTATTAATGAATTTGACTGTCATTAATTGTTGACAGTGATTTAGTTTTATCCTTTCGCTAACCGAATATGCATCGCTTTAGTCTAGATCAACGTTTTGAAATACTCAAAACTTATTTTGAGTGTGAGTCTGTGGTTGCCGAGACGGCGCGAAAATTACGTACAAAGTTTGGAAGAAATGAGGCGCCTACAAACCAAGGAATTAAGAATTTTATTGATAAAGTGCGAAAAACTGAAATGCTGGTGGACGTAAAACATGTTCCGCATGCTTATCCTAGGCGTACACCTAAAGTAATCGCTGCTGTAGCCGAAATTGTACGCCTTAACGTGTCTTCATCAACTCATAAGTCAATATCTTGGCCTTTTTCGTACTACTCTAAGGAGGATTCTGCACAAATACCTTGGTATGTTTGCGTACCAAGTCCAGCTCGTTCAGGAGTTGAAGCAAGTCGACCATCCACACTGTTTTTGCTTCGCTGAGTGGGCTGTAAACCAGGTGAACGAGGACCCTGATTTTGCAAGAAAAATCATCTTTACGAATGAGGCGCATTTTCACATCGGAAAATCCACACGTCATCGTAACAAAGCCCATGCATCCAGATCAAGTCACTGTGTGGTGTGGATTTTGGAGTGGCGGCGTGATAGGACCCTTCTTCTTTGAAAATGAGGCTGGCCACGCCATTACGATAAATGGCGTCCTCTATCGAGATATGATAACGGCATTTTTGTGGCAGGAATTGTATAATATCAATCTCTATCAGGTGTGGTTTCAACAAGACAGCGCAACTTGCCAAACCGCCACGGCCACCATCAATCTTTGGCGGACAAAATTTAATGATCGTGTAATTACCCATCTAGGAGATGTTAATTGACCACCTCGGAGCTGCGATTTAACACCACTCGACTTCTTTCTTTGGGATGTATAATAATAATAATAATAAATATATAATAAATATATAATAAATAAGTTTATTCATTCACATTACAAATGGGGGTATAATAGTATAAAATAATATAGAAAATTGAACAAACTATAAAACTGCATAAGCATAAGCTTATTTGCAGATGAATTCGAGAATAAATTGTTATATACATAATATACAATATGAACATTTAAAATAAAGTAAAATAAAAATTAACAATTGAAAAATAAAGTTTATGATTTAAAGTTTGGATTAAAGATTTAAGATTTTACATATTTTTTTTTCTTTTTCCTTTTCTTTTTTTTTGTAGACAAAAGTAGATTAGAATAAAATATTGAATTCAGTTGAGTTGTGGTACAAAGTACAAAGTATAAAGAGGTACATAATTTAAGGATATTTTTCACTATAAATTTGATTAATTCTCACAACCTGGGATCTGTTTTCTAGGTAACTTTTGAACAGGTTGTTACTGACACCACGCACTCCTATTTCTTTAAGAGAATCTAATAGCAACTGATGACTCACTGTGTCAAAAGCCTTCGAAAGGTCGAGAAATAATCCCAGACAAGGTTTACTAGTATCTAGCGCATAATGTATTTTCTCGGTAAGTGACAAAATAGCATCTTCAGTTGAAACGTTTTTTTTAAATCCAAACTGATGCTCAGACAAAATATTGTATTTGGTAAGGAATGAATGCAGTCGTGATTCTATGACCTTTTCGAAGACCTTTGACAGTGTAGTTATCAATTAAATTGGCCTGTAGTTGGTTACAGAAGTTTCATCTCCTTTTTTATGAATTGGTGTTACAACACTGTTTTTGAAACAAAATGACCATTTTCCATATTCCATACATGTATTAAATATGAAACTTAATGGTGATATAAAAATTGATATTCTCTTTAAAGTTTCCGCTCGAATCCCGTCACAACCTGGAGATTTACTCAATTTAAGTTTTTTTATTATAGTTTCAAGTTCCTGAGGATTTGTAGGTAATAAGACAATGCTATTTTGTTGGTGTTGTCTTTGGGGAATGTAAGAAGGATCTCTCAATATATTTGCAGCTAATTTGTTACCCATTTCTGCAAATGTTTTATTGAATTCATTAGCAATTTGTTTTTCATCAGTTATAAGGTTACCTAGATGGTCTTTTACTTTTTTAATTTTTTTTTGTTGCTTACCACTACTTATTTCATTAATAATGTTCCACAGTTCTTTGGAACTTGACTGATTTTGTGTTATTATTTTTTGATAATAGTCATATTTACGGTTTTTAATTAAATTATTTATTTTATTTCTGTATATATTGTACTGACGTTTTAGAGCTTCATTATGTGGGTCTTTGCATACTGATTTAAACATTTTACTTTTTGTTTCTATGGATTTTAAGAGCCCATTTGTTACCCAGGGACATATTTTTGTATTTTTTCTGTTTATTTTTATCTTATTTGTGCAGTTTTTTAAGTTGGAGGTCACGATATTTACAAAATTTTCTGTTGCACAGTCAATGTTGGGAGCCATGTAAACTGAAAACCAATCTTCGTTACGGAAGGCTGTACTGAGTTTATCATAATTTATATACTGTTTAAAGCTGGAGATATTGGAAGCGCCTTTTTTGTATTATTTTTAAGCATTATTTGAATAGCTGTAGTGTAATGATCCGTTATGGATGTTTTGATTATAAATGGTAATACATAGTCTTTAGCTACTTCTGTTTTAAATTTAATGAATATATGGTCAATACAACTTTTTGTATTTTGTTGTACTCTAGTTGCACTATTGACTGTTGACACATAACCAAATTCATTCATCACACTTAAGTATTCGTTTGAATTAATGTTGCCATCGTCTAACAAATCTATGTTTAAATCACCCAAAAATAAGTCATATTGCAGGTTATTTGTATTAAGTGGCTCTAGATAGTCATAAAGATTATCAACAAATTCAACCACGTTTAGTGACGGAGATCTGTAATATGCAGTTATACCGATTTTTTCAGTATTATTCAATTGAATCGTTACTCGTAATGCATTTGTAGAACCCAACTTTATAATAGAGTGTTTGTAGGATAAATTTGATTTAAGATACATTACAATTCCATCGTTTTGATTAAGATTACCAAAGTTGTAAATTAAGTTATATTTTGGAATATTATACAAATGAAAGTTATCAATTTTCCTTGTCTCTGTAAAGATTAGGCAATCAATGTCTACATTTACATTGTGCAAGAAGATCTTAAATTCATCAAGATTTTTTTGTAAGCTACGAATATTGTTGTGGAGTAATGTGAAGTTTCTGCTATTTCTATTAAGGTGATTACAGCACCCCCTTATAATTTTCGGACAAGGATATCTAAATTAAAAAATTAAAATTTTGGAAAAATATATTAGGCAATAATGTCTATAATATGCATATATCTTAAATTTTTAATTCCTTTCAGTTTCCGAAAAAAAAAAATCAAAGGGCTTTAAACTTTGAAATATCATAATGAAAATAAATGCATTCCTCAACAGTACTATTCTTAATATAATCCCCAAATCTAGGCTCTTAATCTCTTGTTACTGATTTTTTTAAAATTTGCCGAAATTAGTGGCTAAAACGCCTTGTTAAGTGCTATTTTCTGGTGTAAACTGGTGTAAACTGGTGTAAACTGGTGTAAACTAGTGTAAATCGTTGCAAGAAACGAATGATGACTCATAGTGTACGATATGATAGTTACAGACGCGTTACACCAGAAAGCAGCACTTAACGAGGTGGTTTAGCCACTAATTTCGGCGAATTTTAAAAAATCAATTACAAGAGATTAAGAGCCTAAATTTGGGGATTATATTAAGAAAACTGTTGTTGAGGAATGCATTTATTTTCATTATGATATTTCAAAATTTGAAGCCCTTTGATTTTTTTTCTTGGAAACTGGAAATAATTAAAACTTTAAAATATAAGCATATTCTAGATATTATTGCCTAATTAATTTTTCCAAAATTTAAATTTAAAAAAAAAATACTTTTTGAGATATGCTTGTCCGAAAATTATAAGGGGTGC